AAAGAACACCCAGACGACTGCTAACGAAACGAAAGCAAACCAAAGCATAAAAAGAAAAAGAGCTTACGAGGGTTGTCGACTCGAGGATCACTTTTGTCGATTCAAATACCTACATGGTTGAGAAGAGAGCGGTCCCTAACTAGGCGACAAGCGCTCCGCACGTACTTATTCAAATCTTCCAACATTTTCGCAAACTGTTCAGAACGAGGGCGTTTGCTTTGCTTCACCTTATTGGTAATCCAAACGTTTGCGAAAAGGGTATTGGCCAGAAGCAGGTCTAACGAAGAAATACTTCGATTTCCACTCGGTAACATTAGAAGAAAGATCGTCAAGGAAAGACACTCCAAGTTGACGACCTAGACAGTGGGCGCCTTTGGTAAACCTATACCCGTAACAATATTGAAAAAACTCGAGAACGAAACTACCTAATACTATTCGAGAGATGACTACGAAAGCCACCATTATTCGGATGGAGTTTGGAGTGAATTGGTTTATGGGTACATCATACAAGTTACACAACGACGACAGTTCATGCTGGATAGGAAAATGCAAGCCAAACATGATCTGGTTGACAAAGAAAGAATAGCAACCGGGAGGAGGATGTCTGAAATCGTCGCTGGCTTTAGGAGCAATCAATTTCCAATCGGAAGGAAGTCCACTGTACTCCCTGAAGCCAACAATTTTGGCTGCAGGGGCATAAGAAAAAGGGTTAAGAATAGATAACCTTGCTAAAGGACAAGCTAATGTTACAACAATCCGAGGCTCGAGTGAAGGAGCAATTATTGGTAAATATACAGGACTTGTTCTATACACGGGGACATCTAATAACCTAAGAGGAATACCTTGAGGGATAACATTAAGTCGAGGAGATCCGGATGCATGAAGAGAAGCTTCAGGATCCTCCGACAAAACACCCGATAACAACGCGTGAATATACGCATCCCAGTCGATGCCGAAAGATGAGGCGACCGAAGGAGGAGAACTTGGCCCGACAGTCGGCTTGACATCAATTATTCGAACAGAATTAGAACTCGAGTATTCGTCAATATGACGGGCGAGGGAGCCATAAACAGAATCAGGGTTGGAATCTAAAAAGTCGAAAAGAACAGTGATCAGTACACGAAGCGTAAGCTAAACACTAAGTGTTGCTAAAGAGAGATACGTCGACATCGAGATATTTGAAAAAAAACAAGTCGACTCACTTAACACGACTCGACAGAAGGAAGAAGGGAGTTGGGAAAGTCATGAAAGCCCCGAGTACAGGGTCATCAAATCGACAGGAATCGACCTAGAGAAAGACAGAAGGCCGATTCCAACTACTAAGTCGATCGGCGAGTAAACGCTTAGAAAAACGCAATACCCGCGTTGAAGAATTTAACGAGAAAAATAGCCAAGAATTATCTGGAGAATTCCAGAACACGCGAAGAACACTTGAAGGCTTCAAATCAAAAACCCAGGAAAAAAAAATACAAAAATAAAAAAAAAACATATGACAGAAGCTAAAAAGCACAGGAAACTTACACATGATGGCTTGATTGAAGAAGTCCTGGGAAATCCAAGAAAGCTGCCGGAAAAGGGGACGAGCACCGGAGAACTTGCAGTATTATGGTTGCCGGAAGAAAAAGAGAGTTTGAGAATTCGAAGAGCAAAAAAGTGGT